GCAACACAAGTTGCATCTACACTGCAATTAAGGATGTGTTGGTAGCTTAAGCGAGATGCAACTGCGGCCAGCACAGAGATAGTTCAGCCTCACAATTTTGTAATATTAACTGTTCTAACCAGACCAGCATGTAGTGAGGGAAAATATATGCACATAAGATCACGCGCACTGGCTCAGATAAAATCCTCAAATACTAACTTTTAAAGTCACACGCTCAGGGAACAGCATACTAGTGAATACATGCAGCAGTATCTCCTAGCATAATCTTCCAGCTCCCAGGAGTTTGTGGCTTAGGAACGTCCTGTGCACGGGCACACTGGTATCTTTTACCTGGCAACCTTGATGCACTTCTGGATTTTTGATCCCACACAGACTTCTGGTAGCCCCAGCATCGGGTGGCAGAGATGTTACACCTTAACCACATGAATAATCTACTTCAACGTTGAATGTCTTTCAGCTGATGCCTGTTAGCTTTGATATTAGAAGAGCCAGTGTGCCACCTTCTCCTTCTGTTGACATTCGTGATACTGTTTTGAGACTTTACAAACTTCTATCGGAGCCCTCTTTAGCCATCTCCTTTCCAGTCTGAAGACTCCTAGCCCGGCTAGTTAGTCCTTGTACAGGAGCCATTTCATATAGGTGATCATCCTTTTTTGCTCTTTTTAGTTCTACTCTTTCTACCCCTTCTAGTTTGCTAGGCTTTTTGAGATGAAGAGATCAGAACAAAACACAGTAACTTAAGATGCAGGTGAGCCATGGACATATGTAACGGTAGTCTCAGTTTTGTTCTCCTTTCCGTTCCTAGTAACGACTGACTCTCTTTTGGCTGCTACTAAGCACTGAGCTGGTGTTTTCACAGAACCACCTACTACATCTCTGAAATCTCTTTCCTGAACGGGAACAGCTAGCTCAAGGCCCACCACTGTGTGCGTACAGACTCAGCATTGTTCTTAATAGTGTTGCTTAACATTTAGCTACAATGGGCATAGGCATGCTGTAGGTGTGCCCCAGATACACTGTCAATATAATCAACTAAATTAGTTCAGCTTCTGTGGCCAGCGCTGAGACTTTGATCTCTTTGTAGGAGCTGCTAAAAATAAATAAATAAATAAATCAGTGCAGTCTGAAATCATGCTCACTGTGAACTGGAAGAAAGAATCTAATAAAAGATGCTTTTTCCCCCCTTCTGGATGTCCTTTAAAATGAAAAATTGTACCATCGTAATGTTAAAGAGATAACATTTGCTTTACCCCCCAAAAATAAGTCCATTTAGCTTGAGAACGGCACTACAATTTTCAATCTTGTCATATAAGTTTGAGTTTTTACTGAGGTCAAACACACTGAGCCATGGCTCTAATATTAAAGAATAGCAAAGTTTCTAGAACTATCACTGTGTTATACAGACTCTCACGTATAATACTATACAATGGTATACTATACTATGTAATACTATACGCTACTGAAATAACGTCTGACGTTTTTAACTGTTATTTTAAAAGGGGAAAAGGATATCTTTGGCTTTGATCATTGATATGTCTTAGGACAATTTAGACATCAAGCCTAAATATGTAGTATCTTTAGCTACGCTGCTGCCGAATAAGTAACGTGTAAGAAAGGCTAATGACTACTGCTGGGAAGCTTCACGCTTTTCCCCTGTACTGTCTGAAGCTTGAACACAAAGCAACCAACACAAAAAAGAAACAAAACACAGCAGAAAGAGGGAGATAGATACCACAACTTGGTCACGTATGGCATACAATGGCAAAGCCAGGACAAGCAACCTCGCGTTTCTTATTATGAGACTACTGAGCCTAGCCCGCAGCATGAAGACCACTGCCTGGGGCCAATCTGACCCTGAGGGGAGGCTATGGGAAAGGGCAGATGCAGAAGCACCGTTTTGGAAAGGCCACTTGTAAGACCAGACCTTGGGCATCTGCTGACTGGAGATCAGTGCTAGGTGACATTACAAAACTGAAGGACGCCTACCAACAGCAAAGAGCAGTAACCCCAGGAGAAGACGCTTCCTCTCAGGTACGAGGTGTTTCAGTGGGTGCTCAGGCAGGATGCCAAGGAGTCTGTAGGCAGCTGTAGTATCTGGTAGAGATTTGGGATTCATCTCATCACTGGGACAAGGAGGGAGAAGACACTCAGGCATCCTGACGTCATCTTCAGGGAGAAGAATTGTGAAACATCAGTTTCATCCAAATAACCACAAGGCTCACAGACATGCACCAGTCTAGTAGGGACCACAAACAGCCAGAACCACAGTACCTAATGCTGCTAAAACCCAATGAAGATTGGTCCTTTAGTTGATGCTGTGGAACAGAAAATATCATACACTGTTCTTTTCTCACCGGTGGAAAGATTTGGGGATGTGTTTTTAACCTCTGATCATCATACATTACCAAGCTCCTTGAGTCACTTCAGAAACTGAGATTTTTCCAGTGCTAACTTTGTGATGGGACAGCCAGAATGGCTAAATGGAGCCTGTTTTTTTCATCTCATATATTACTACTCTGACAGCTGCTTCCACACAAAACTGCTTTCTAGACATCCCCTGAACAGATCTGCCTTGATCACCTTTTTCGGTCGAATCCAAAACAACCCCTTTTTAAACAAAAGAAAAAAAAACCCCGAAGTGACTGAAACGTTAATGAAAATACAGGAGCAGCTTCCCTCTCATGTTCCTTTCCTTATTTCATCCCCTATCCTGCATAGGTAGATTATTAAGGAACAATCACAAGTCACTTACCTTTGTTCCAGGTGACAGCCACAGTGAGACGCTGCTGACTTATCCTGGCAGTGACAGCTCCATCAAAACCTAAGTGACTGCAGCCATTTAGACAACACCACACTGAAATACAATCCTTTCTGGCGGTCAAAGAGTACGGATAGGATAGCTTGGGAGAAGCATCTTTATCTTGAAGCGACATTAAAAAAAAAAGTTAATATTAGCAGAATCAAGGACAAAATAAAAATTCTCAAGCTGTGCATTACACAGGGAGTTAATATTGAACTGTGCCTGGGGTAAAGAGGACAGGGAATATCATTTTGACCTACAAACTGTAATAGAGGGCTCTGAATTCAGACACAAACAGAAGACCCCACATAACTCTTGCTGATGCCAGGGCTGCCTACCTGAATACAAAAGCCACGTGGTGCGTCTGCCTCTCCTGAATGCAACGCATTGCTGACAGGATTCAAAAGCACCAAAGAGGGAAAGCTGAGTGAAAAAGGAACGGAAAGTGAACATCACTGGGATTCCCTCTGCTCTGCTCATCTCCCACCATCTTCTGGAATAAATTTCTCTCTTTGAGCTCTGATTTTATAAATTATAATAAAGAATGGACACATACAGAGAAAACCAGAATCTCTAATCTAAGAGAGCTGCCCCAAACACGAACGGAGTAGCCCAATATGTCCCCATGGGTGTTTCTGGTTGGCAGCAAAAGGTAATTTGTTAACGCGGATGAGGCAGCTGCTTGCCCTACATCCACCACAAGCCACCAAGAAGTTCAAGCCCCAAGGCACCTCAGGCCTACGGGGGCAGCAGAAGGGGAGCTGGGCACAGCGCTACACCAGGCAGAAAGGCCCAGACTCAGAAATACAGCACGAAGGACAACTTAGCCCCGTTCAGGCCTGGGAACAAACACTATCCCATAGCCAAAGGTACGCCTCACGCGGCTGTCTGCACAGGCACAGGCTGCTACAGGCGGACTGCAGGAAGGCCCTCACAGTTACGCGGCATTTGGGCTGAAAGGCGGGAGGACGAGCGGCACCCTCTGCCGCCAGCACCCACCTCCAGCGGCGGCAGAGGGGGGACCGGCAGGGGGGAAAGGCAGGGGA